GTGCTCGAGTTCAATTATACACTCTCTGAGTGCAGTTCAATTACTCATTACCTCGTCACGTTGTGACCATCTTATATATACCAGACTACCCTCAATCTAGTAGTCTCCCGATAATTCACGAAGGTTCGAGAGAAGGACGTGGCGTGATACTAGTCACGTGACCACGCTGACGCAACAATATTAACACATTATAAGGCCTCATATAATGACAAAACCAAACACCATCTACTAGCTAGAGTCAATGCATATGTGGTATTTCCATGAAAACACAAAAAAGTTGAGTAACTCTTTTGCTTTATCTGGACATGATAAACAGGACATGAACTTAACCTATCAAATTTCAATATTCTTTGCAAAGCCAAAACTGATCTGGAATTACTGAAACCCTTCACGTCAAACAACTTTCACCAACACTGAGCAACATGCAGTCTTCGTTTAAATTACAAATTTCTTATTATGTGTAGTATTTTGTTTGTTACTCATTTAATTTTTATGTTGTAATTTTACTAAATTACTGTTATGACAGTGTAAGTCACGTGACGCTGGAAGCATGCGCGCTGGAGTTTCTAGAAGGATCACGACTGTTCCTGGTAACTCTAGTCTTTTCTAGGCGCCCTCTATTTTAGTATATATGCCCGGCAAATAAAGCGGAGATAATAATTGCAGATAGACAGATATAGAGACAGATAACCGAGTCAAGTGAGCGGTAATGACCGTAAGTAAAGTGCATGAATTGTTGTGAATTATACCGCGTGTTGAAGTTAAAGTGACTGTGGAAATTCTGTGTATTGCAAAGCTGTATTGAGAAAGAATAAACTAGTTTTATTTAAGAAAGGACTTGTATCGCTGAAGTTCCTCGGGAAGAATTTTTACGGGAAATTAACAAACGACCAGAGACGTAACATTACTGTTATTATAGCATATATACATGTATATATATATATTGTAGTTACTTACTTAGGAACGAGGCCCGGCATGGCTAGGTGGTTAGGGCACACGGCTCGCAATCTGCGGGTCGCGGGTTAGAATCCCCGTCCCACCAAACATACTCGCCCTTTCACATGTGGGCGGCGTTATAATGTGACGGTCAATCCCACTATTCGTTGGTAAAAGAGTAGCCCAAGAGTTGGCGGTGGGTGGTGATGACTAGCTGCCTTCCCTCTAGTCTTACACTGCTAATTTAGGGACGGCTAGCGCAGATAGCCCTCGTGTAGCTTTGCGCGAAATCCAAAAAACAAACAAACATACTGCGCCGAGCTCCAGGGAAGAGCTGCAAAAGTCGGACTTAGGGATAATGTCAGTGACATCCCATCTATCTGGTCGTAAAATTGATAATTAAAAACGAAGTGATTGTCCTTGAGGATTAATTGAAGAAGCTATTCTAAATTTTTTTTAGTTAAACTTAAAGTGTTGATGATACTTTTGTAGTTTAAATTAACCTTTTAAAGTTTAACACGGATAGTTAAAGTTCAAACATTTTCGAAATGGCCATAACTAAATATGTTTTTGGTATTAATGTTTTTCTAGTACTTATATTAATATTATATTATATCATTGAAGGATTAGTATTACATTTTGTATGTTTCTTAAAGCCTTTCCTTCGTTATTATTAATATTATTTGTTGACCAAAATAAAAGTTATGAAGTTGCAATTTCCGTTCAATTATGATTTTAAAATGTTATTAGCAGCTCAAGTTATGTGACAAAACCGTATCGTGAATAGTTATGTAGAATGTAGAATATGGTTACAAAAGTTTATTGGAAAATTAACAGTTAGAGCATACACACTACGATTACCCTTGAAAGTTTGTTTTGGTTTCGGATATTTGCCCCAAGATACTCAAGGGCTATCTGCACTAGGTATTCTTAATTTTGAGCTAATAGACAAGAGGGAATATAACTAGTCAGCAGCACCTACCGCCAACTCTTGGGCTACTATTTTCTGATATAATAATGGGTTTTAACTGTTACTCTTATAATACACATGACGGCCACGAAATGTTATTTTGTATTAACAGGATACACAACATGGATGACAATATCTGTGTCTGGTCTTTTACAACAGTAGTAATGTGAAGTCATGTGCTTATAGCTACATATCATTTTAGGAGGAAAAGTCTTGAATAGTTAGATCTGGTTAGAAAGCTGGAAAGATTTGAAACCTCTTTCACAATTAACTAATTCGAAAATGCAAGTATTAAATTTACAAAATACTACACTTTTTCTTTTATTGCAAATATCTATCATAGATAACAAATCTCGTATAAGTATCTGAAACATATAATAAACCAAAAGTTAAGTTTTATTAAATATACAAATTTTTTTCAGAGTTCAGTCGGTTGTGGTCTCGCCGTTAGCGTGTAGGGTTATCAGTCTGAAGCATCATAGAAGAGTGACAACCAGTCCCATTATTTAATTCAAAGAGACGGACAAATCCCTTGCGGTTGCTAGCTGTCTGGGTATTAATTCAAAGTTAGAGTCAACTCGGTTATACCTGGCTCCTAGAGATCATTTACCTGTCTGTTTGTTCTACGTACGCACAAAATGCCCTTCAGGTAGATAATTCCAAATTATTTTTTCCGTGAAATAAATTGAATTTTTACGTTTATCCATCCTTAAGTTGACACTATTCCGCAGAAAAATCAAGATCAAGATTAATTTTCAAGAAAAAATAAAGCTGTGATTATTTTATTTAAATAAGCCTATTAATTATGTGGCGTAACTTTAGACATCCTTCAAGGGAAAAAGTAAATTGTTACTTGCAACAAATCGTGACAAAATTTCAAGAGTTATATTAATCTCTTCATATTATATGCTTATAGCAAACATAAGAAGGTGACACACATCCTAAGTAAGTTCACGCGAATAATGTTTTTTTCATTGATAGATTGTTTAGGCAGAGTATTTATGATGAGTACACTGGTATGAGCGGCAACTGCCTGTTGTCGAAAAACATTTGTGTAGAGGAAGGCGTTTCGAAAGTCTTTCTCTTCAGGTTCTGAAGACTTTTGAAACCCCGTCCTCTACATTTATGGTTTTTTTTAACACAATAAGTATTTGCCGTCAATTCCAGTGAATTTTTTTCCTCTTTCATTTATCTTTTGCCACACTGACATTTCACTTTACCATATGTACTAGAGGGCGCTTTTCAAAAGAACAGTTTTTCAAATAAATTAACGTTGGGCGTATAAGCTTGTAAAGTAAAATAAACACGATCGTTAGTGTGTTGGAGTTTAAAGGTGAGATTGTCCTACATATTAATATTATCTAAATTGTATCATATAAGTATAACGTTTATTGTGATATATATATATATATATATATATATGTTGTTTATGATTTAGCTTTTTGAAAAGCTTAATCATTTCACGACTACTTCAACTTTCAACATTAACTGTTTTTGATGTTGAAATTCAATTTCAAAGTTGCTAAGATTAAGAGTAAGACACCAGAGTGTACGTTACTAGTAGTATTTTAATACCAAATAATAGTGATGTAGTTGGTAATTCAACCACAGGAGCTTGCAGTTTAATTTTTAAATATAAAAAGTTAAATATTATAATTAATTGTTAATTCATTAATTTTTAAGTTAATGGAAAAATGTACTTGTCATACTTAAGAAATGTTTATCTGTATTAAAATTTGTTTTTTGATTGTTGTTCTTCAATACTGAAGTGAAGGCTAAAGCCTTAGTTTGGCGGGATTTACTATTTAAAGTATTTTGCATACATCTTTTAATTTCAAATTTTGCATAACTAAAGTTAATATTAACTAATGATGCAAAGTGTATGTCTCATATTATATCCAGCTTTAACTCCCCAAGTACTCATCACTTTCAGAAGTTCTCCTGAAGTTGAACTATTCCAATCCTGTTGCATCTATCATGTTTGAAGGTGATCTGTTGTGAGGTAAAATCTAGCTACCCTGTTCAAAAAATAAAACTGCCCAATTTATAGATGTTTTTTAGTTTTACCATGCCATATCTTATGTTCCCTAATTCTACTACTCTAACCATTAAAACAAAAAAAGGTGATGGATTAATCTTGTTTATTCCATTTAAAACTTTGAACACTTCAAAAAGATGTCCTCTAACCCTTGTTTTCTTGAGAGAAAATAATTAAAGAACCTTAACCTGTCTTTATATGACAGCACCTCCAACTCGTGAATCACCCCTAGTAGCCTTCCTTTGCTCTCTTTTCAATAAATCATTGTCCTTCTAAGATAGTACAAGATTTAAGACTGACACAGTGAATAAAGAGCACTAAAGTCTAGAGATTTTCATGAGTCTGCAGACCTGTATGTGCTCCAATGAAATTTTGTTTATTTTATAAGTATTTATTTGCTTATTGTAAAACAATTAAGTCACTTTGAGTGTTGATTGTTTGTTGTAATAAGCACAGTGAAATGAATTATGACCATCCTTGTTTATTGTATGTAGTTGTTTTTTGTTTTGTTTTTACATAAACATCCTGTTGTTTTTAGTCCATTTTGAAATTATACATTTAAATCAACTTGTATCTGAATACATGAAAGTTTTGTTAGTTGTTGCAAATAATATAACAATAGCAAACAACTGCAACATTTAACACAAACTAATACATATTTTAGGTTTTTCTATAACTTAATATTTTGTTGAATGTTTGATCACCCACTGACATTATGCTCAGTCTAATTCATTTCACCATATCATTTTATTTCTTAGGGAAGAGGATTAAAAACTGTCATAGTCAGTTTAGGAACTTTGAAAATGTTAGCATCAGAATTCCTGGAACTCCTTATGTTCTGGAGTAGGACTAAATGCTATATTTAGCGTGAGTATGAATTGCATATTCGTTCCTTGATTACGAAGAAATTGTCTGTGAAATTAAATGATGTGATTTACTTTCTTACAAACTGTTTGATTAATTAATGGACAGGAAGTTAGTTTTTTCTTCTGATCAATACATATAAATGACCTTGATCAGCATTTCTCAAACTGTGGTCTGCAAGGGTACTCCAGGGGGCAGTGAGGCATGTTCAAAATATCATAAATATTTTTTTAAAGTATGATTTATAAAATAGAACATTTTTCATAAATTTATATTTATATGAGTTAAAACATTTAATTTTGGAATACAGCTTTTCATATACATGGAATTTTATTTTTTTCAAAACAAAATGCATCAATATGTTTAGGGGTCAGCGAAACAATTTTAAATTAAACGGAATCCTTGGGTTACTGAAGTTTGAGAACTGCTGACCAGACAAACCGCTTGGCTCATTAACATTCATGCATTAAATATATGTATATATCTTTGGTTTCTAGCAGTATTTAATGTTTTGCACGGTATCAACATTAATATTACAGAAACTGTTTTGTTTTCCAGTTGTATTTAATGTTTTGCATGGTATCAACATTAATATTACAGAAATTGTTTTGTTTTCCAGTAGTATTTAAGGTTTTGCATTGTATTGACATTACTATTACAGAAACTGTTCTTCATTTGTGTTTACATCCTTATGTCACACTAACTTTTGAAGATCATGGAAAAGCATCATTGCCCTTTCTGCCCTGTCTATTACTTTGCTGCTGGACCTTGGGAACGACATATACACAAAAAACACAAAGATGAATTGATAAGGACCTTAGATAATGCAGTTTTCTATAAATGTGAGTTATGTGATGCATGCTATTACAAGGAAGATCTTTTGAAAAGTCATATAGAAGCAGAACATCACAAGATTTTCAAGAAAGTAGCCATAAGTGATGGTGGAAGCAAGAATCAAGACAGCTTTCAGACTGTTGGACAAGTTCCTGCTACAAAACCACATACCAGTTACTCTTTTACTACCAATTGCCCATTTTGTACTGAACTATTTTCAAGCCAAGTATTAGTTGTTAAACATGCAGAAAGAAACCACAAAAAACTGTTGAAAAAATTCATTTTACAGGGTACTGGTGAACCAAAATACCAGTGTTTAGTATGTTCAGCCAAGTTCTTTGAGAAAAAATATCTTGAAAAACACAGAAAATTTAACATACATCTTGTGAAACAGCAAGATGATAGCACCACTGGTACTAGCAAGAGCAGCTCAGTTTCTGCAAAATTGACAAACAAAGGACAGGAGTTGCAAAAGTCAAATCAGCAAGTTCATTGGAAACTGAATGAAAAGAAGAAGGGGGCTTATGATGGTGTTTCTGGAACTGAAAGTCAAATTTATGAAAGAGCTGAGCATAACTTCAAAAATACGAAGGAAAAACAAAGAGTTGAGCACAAGTATGAAGGCATAGTGGAAATGCCAAAGTCAATTCATACTGAAGACAAAAAGCTAGGTCGATGTAGCGATGTTGAGGTGATAAAGAGTTCCTTAAAATATCCATCTGTATCAAATGGTGAGAACAGTAGAACCCAGCTCTGTGGTACAACAAGGGCTTCACAAGATGTCCTAACAGATAGAGGAAGGAATGGTGCATTAGGTCACTGGTCTTTAGGTAACATGCCAGAAATAGAAGGATATCAAGAAAATCGTACCAAAACAGGTACTGACAAAAACATTCATATACAAAATGCTGTTGTGTACAAACGCTACCTCCCATTTGGTCCTTCATTTGGCTATGAAAGTGAATTAGAGAAAAATATTAATATGAAGGGAAAGCTGAATTCCTCAAGGTGTTTTTGTTGTGTGTGTAATATGTCATTCAGTAATCATGGAGATCTGGAGAAACACTTCCTTGTTGATCATGGTGTTAGTAATATGTCTGTAGGATTTCAGGGTAACCAGAAAAAGTCTCCAGTGCAAAGTGAATTAGGTAACGATGAAAGAAACTGTAACTCATCTTGGAGTTTGCATCGTGACAAGCACTGTACTGACAATCCCGAATCTATTGTAACTTGTCCACTGTGTGCTAGTCACTTTCCATCACAGTTACTCTTCAACATCCACTCCTGGTCACATGCCGATACGAACCAGGTTCCACATTTTTTTGCTTCCACCATGTATTGTTGCAAGTGTAAGAAGACTTTTAATTCACGTAGCCAGTTTTTTTCTCATACCAAAGAAGTCCACAATGACGTCCGTCACCTGTGTGAGTTCTGTCCAACGTTTTACTACAGTCAGTCAGCTCTCTCTAGACACCTGAGCAGAAACCATGAAGAAGAAGTATTACTGCTTAGCAAAGAGTTACCCAAGTTTGTGTGTGTATTATGTTCAGCACGTTTCTATTTTGCAGATCCTCTGGTTCACCATCTACAGCAACATGATGGATACAACTCTGTGATAACAGAGGAACATTACCCTCCCAACCAGTGTTTGTCTTCTTCCAGAGTGGGTAAGAAACAAGAGCCAAAACTGAAACCGGGAGAGCCAACTGTAATGTGTATTGGTTGTTCTAAACCATTGAATAGTGAGAAACAAGAAAAACACTCAACAGACACTGAGCAGATATCTCTCGCTTCCAGATGTAATGTCAAATCTATGTACAATAAGGAGATTGGCCCAACACGGTTACATTCTACTGTAATGCATAATAAAAAGACTGAAAGCGGTGTTGAAGCTAGAAACAACATACGTTATTCTTGTGCATATTGTGGAGGGGTGTTTTCATCCAGTTCTCTCTTACAAGAACACATTAAAAGCCATAAGAAACTGAGTCAGTTTTTAAAACCACTTTATGGTTGTGCTAAGTGTTCGGCTAAATTTTACCAAAATCGCTACTTGAGACATCACTTGAGGTTTCACCATGGGTCAAAGGTCACACCAAGAAAGTGTCACAAGAGTAGGAGAAATACTGCTTCTGTGGATGTTTCAAGTGTCAGAGTCCAGAAAACCTCTTCAGCTGGACATGTAGGCAGTGACTGGTTTTCAAGCTTAAGAAGTAATAAGACTAGTCATGGAACTAGCAGCACAAGTTCTCTGCCTATAAGTGTGTCTCTAAAAGAAAATTCTGTGTTTTCAAAGGATAACCCAGGAAGTAGTTGCCAAGCAACCATACAGGAAGATAATCCTGGTAAAAGAAAAAGTAAATCGATACAGTGTACCTTGTGTCATCACAGCTGTGATTCTCAGTCCATAATGGTCAGACACCTGAAGGAATTTCATCGAATAACCAAGTTCGAAACACGGACAACAGATGTGCAGATGTAAATCAGGACAATTGTGAAAGCACATTATTCATTCTATAATCATGTAAAAGATCTAAGAAACTTGAAAACCTTTTTTTCTTTTGTTAGTATTCCTTCTTTTTTACATTGGTGAGATGACACGTTCAACACCTGTTCTGATAAAAATAAATAAAAAAAGGAAATGCAAAAATCATTGTTGGGAATTACTTACAGTACAGGTATCCTATGAATACCTAACAATGTATAATCACATGTATTTCAAGAATTCTCATTGTTGGGAATTACTTACAGTATAAGTATCCTATGAATACCTAACAATGTATAATCACATGTATTTCAAGAATTCGTTTTAAAAGCCGTACGTGTCCCATACTACCCAAAGTAAATTTTTGTTTGCTGTGAAAGAAAGAAAGAAAAATATGGCAGTTTTAATCAATTTAGATTGCTAAACCATGGATGATTTTAATTTGTAGTGGTTTATTAGGTAGCATAACACAAATAATGAAGTATTATTCATGTTTATTGCAACCAGTGGAAGTTTGTTTTATATATACGATTTCATATAACCACAACAGAAGTTAAATTTTACGTGTCAAAAAATGGTTTAGTTACATACAGTATATATAACCCGTTATGCCATGCCCTGGGCATTGAGGAGTGTATACATAACCCGTTATTCCATGCTCTGGGCATCAAGGAGTTTTTCATCATTATTTCTATTTTATTAATTTTATTACCAAACATTTTCTACCCCAAGAAGACTATGACCCACCCTGTAGTGTACTGTAAATGAGTACAGTATGTGAGTTTACAGGATACCTCAGGGTATAAATGTTTCCTGTGGCATCGTGTAATGGGCCGTGTGCTGAAAGTTAGTATTCAGCATATGAGAAATTGTATATCTTATTTTTTCCTATTTTTAAATTAAGACTAACATTTTATCTACTAAATGGTCATGGACCAAATGTTTTTAAGTTGCTTTTTTTAACAATCTTGTATTTTTTTTATTTAGATAGTTGTTGTTTTTTTGTTTTGTTTTTTGTATAAATATATACAGTGTAAGTAGGCTGTATTCTTATTCCATATCATATTTGTCTATCATTTTATTTCTAATGGCTGATAACAGTCAAGAATGATGAGAAAAGTTATTTATATAAATATGTGATCTTTCCATAGATATTGATAAACACATGCACATATAGTGTTTACACAGATATAAATTGATATTTTATATAATGCTTCAGTAACGGGGATTGTAGACTGGTTCCAGGAAAGATTCGATGAAATTATAGTTTAATTCCATTTGTTACAGAAGGTGCATCAATGTTTATTATGTGATGCCAGACAATTATTTGACATATCATTAAAGTACTTTTTTTATTCATGTGGCTGTCAGGAAGAGTGATTAGTGACCTTAACTAATCCAAACCAAAATTTAGCAGGAGTCACTTTGTAATTCTTTTATTACCAAAGATATAAGAAGCCTAGTAAAGTTGATTATTTTTTTTTTTAAGAATCTAAAGTATAAAAATAAAATCACAGAAAGCCATTTGGTCTCATGAGATCATCCACACACAAAAATTAATTAAATTTCATTATTATTTTTATATTTATCATTGCTTTAGAATATATATATATGTATTAAGTTATATTTTAAGAGTAATCCATTGTGTGAGATTATGTTATTGTTTTATTAGTGTACAAACTCATGACGTTTGTATAGTTTTTTAACTTCAACATCATTATTACCATAAAATACCTTGTTGAATTTACTAACTGGAACTTTGTGCAATAAAATTAGCAGGGGTAAGAACAAGAAATTTTTGCCAAGGTAGATAATATATATATATATTTACTCCATCAAATTTTCTTGTTCTTGGTGTATAAATACTCATAAGAGAAAAGATGGTAGAGATGGATCGTATTATTAGAAGCCGCATGTGATCTGGCCTTTCATTTTTTTGGCTAAATCTGTAGAAAGTGCTGCTCTACTAAGCCTGAATGATTTTATTTCTAAGGTCAACTTTCTGACTCACCTAATAAATTACCCAGCATACTGATGGAACATAATCAAGTGATTTTATAATTTGGTTGTAACAGAAAATTGAAACTCTGTTAACGTATAGAATGAGAATAAACGTCCTATATGCAAAAGTTTAAACAGGTGATTTTGTTCTTGTGTATGGGGAACAAATCTTGATTTAATATAGACTAAGAAGATGTAAAATGTTTTAATCTTATAATTAAATCATTCAAAATTATTCCAAAATATGTTATTTTTAGTTAGAAACTAGGCTAAAGACATATCTGTTTTACAGAGGAGTTTTATTGTGTAGAGCAGCGTTTCCCAAACTTTTCCAACTAGGGACCGGTTTATTTTTTTAATTTTTCATGAGGCTCGACGTCCTCAAATACCTAATTAGATAACCCACTTAGACATGGCTAAGCCGTAACATTAAGCTGGAAGTAATAGTTCATTGTTTTTTAATCATTACATTAGCTGTATACTTATTAATGGTGTTTTAAGAAATAAACTTACCTTATGTTTTTCATCACACAGCAAATTCAAATCAGGAGGAAAAGAAGTCTGTTTGATCTTCAAATCTTACTTGACATCTAATCTGTTCCTGTACTTGTTTTTTAAGAAAACCAATGTTGAAAAGCCTGATTTGCATTTATAAGTCGTGACAAAGGGCATAAGAAATCTCGCTGTTTTTTCTGATAAGTTTGGATACTCAGCATGACAGCTCAGCCAAAAATTAATTAATGAGACTTAACTAAAACAGTCTTTCAATGCGGTGTCACAGGAAAGTTCAATAATAGAAACAATTTCTGATTCACTGAGTTGTAATCCTTCCTCGTTTTCCGTGTCAACAGTAAAACCATTCCTGATCCACATTTTACTGCTGGTAATTGGAGGAAAATATTCCTTCAAGCATGAATTTAGCCCCAAAAGATGCTCTTTATTTGATAATAAAATCTCATCTGGAATATTTCCTTCTTCATCTTGTTTTGTAATTCTGTTAAAGTAGAGAAAGACTTATAATCTCTCTTCTCAACTCAATGTACCCACAAGTTAATTTTTTTATAGTTGCTTCTATCTTTTCCTGGACTTTAAAAATATTTGTTAGCACCTTGTAAGTTTTAGATTTAATGCATTTAAGAAGCCAAAAATGTCAAATAAAAAGGCCACCTTAATTAACTAATGTAAATTATGACACCTGTCTCTGAATTCAAATATTGCATCTGTTGCTGATGGGGGATGTTGCTCCAAAAACAAGATAAATTCATTCTTCATTTCGATGATTCTTTTTAAGACACTTCCTCTTGATAACCACCGAACTTCACGGTGTAATAGGAGATGCTCATGTTCACTTCCTAATTCTTTGCACAAAGCAGTAAAGATTCTTGTGAATTCAACAAATGAGATTTTATATAGTTTGTGAATTTAACACATTCTTGCATAGTTGAATTCAAAAGTAAGGGCATTTTCTTCACAGCTAATGCCTCTCTGTGAATGCTACAGTGCACCCATTCACAGTCTGGTGCCACTGATTGGATCTTTTAGAAAACTTCTGTATGGGAACCTGCCATTGAGTGAGCACCATCGGTACTCAATCCAACACATTTTTTTCATTGAATACCACTCTGAATTATAAAATTATTGATTAAATTAAAAATTTTGTCAGCCATTGTTCTTGTTGGAAGTGCAAAAAGTGTGTGAAATTATTGTTTGGAAAAACTATTTCATTTTTCTTATTTCTGTTAGTCTGAGGCTCCCTTGATGTGAATAAAAAAAGGTTGAGGCCCCTCAAACCTCGAACTAGGCTGCATTTGCACACCACTTGAGGTCTTCTTGTGTGATGCATGTTTTTTGAGCCATCTATCTATATTGGAGAGAGTTTTTCTTAAAAATGAACAACATAAATATATTTAGTTAGTACAAAGTATATCACAAACAATTCTCTCTCTTCTCAGAACAAACTGACACTTCTAACACTGGCCACCAGCAACTTGTCTGCTGCCACCTGGTGCCACCAGATGTAAGACTCAGGTCTCGCATGTCTGTCAATTTCTATTAACAGAGTAAGCAAATTTAACGCATTTGGAATAAAATTCCTAAAACTTGTCTCGAAGAACCAGTTAACTTGAATGAACAAATGGTCCTTTTATGTGAGACAAAATCCCTTCTTTGATCTTACCTGCAGACGGGAAGATCGGCTTGGACTCAGCAGAGGGACATGTCTAGCTAACATGTGGTTTAAATTTACGGTATTTCACAAGAATCTCAAGGTTATCAACACCATAAAACTTAATATTAGGCTCTCTAAATTGCACAAAGTGAGTACAACTTAATTCCTGAGGGACTGAAGGTATAAAGGCAGCTGTCAACTGGTGAATTCTATAGTTTCATAGTCTTAAGTACAGACTTTTACTTTTCGTTCCTGTTATATTAGCTTAGTTGAAATACTGATAAATCCAAGATAGATGAAATGAAAATTTAAATTATAATTATAATGTAAAATATTAATTTTATTAGAATATATTTATATTAACTGGTTTAATTACATTTTTCGGTGCTACTATAGCGTGAGGTCTACCGCCATATGTCGCCTACCCAGGTCTATCAAACATGTATAAAAATGTATCAAATTAAGTGTTTATCGCTAAAATAAGTGTATGGAAATGTGTGATATCCATGAGGGATGGATAATGCAGCGGTAGACCTCACGCTATAGTACTAACGGGAGGTAGACCTCACGCTATAGTAGCACCCATTTTTCTTTAATATACAACAAGAGCTTGGAGAAAGTTTAAAAATGGCAGTTGGTAGTGAAAGGGTTAAAATTAATTAATTTTAATTTTTTTAGTTTTCTGTGGGCCAGCATTTTTTTTCTTTTTTTTTTTTTCCATGGACCGGTCCTGGGTTGTGAACCACAATTTGGGAAACGCTGGTGTAGAAAGTAACAGATTTTTAAAAAAGTTGCATTAAAAATGTAGTGTACTTACATAATTTAAAGAAATATACCAGCACAAGTGACTGCCATAAAAAAGCCATGAGTAATACAATTATATGGTCTTGCATTGTGAATTTCTTGTAGTTACTGTTTAGTATATTTGGTTGAAAGTCTGAAGAATGATGTATTTAATATGTATTAACTGGTTTAACAATATTGCCTGATTTAATCATTCATTTTAAGCATTTTGTTTACAAATTGTAATATACATTACAGGAATTTTACGTGTGTGAGACTGTTAAGAATGTATAAATTTATATATACTTGCACATGATTAATATAAAACATTCAGGATAACTTGTAAGTGTTTGGACTAGTGTATCTGAATACATATGATTGAAATGTTCTTTAGTTTCTTTATATACGTTGAACTTCAGTTTATTTAGAATAATTTACATATATCAATATTATACTTTGATTTTATGCAGTTTATTGTTTTTTTTATACTTATTTACTGTCTTTTTTGTCATTTATTTATGTACAAGATCAAAGTTTGAATAAGAAAAATGTTCCAAAAAGCATACTCACCTTACTGGCTTGAAACATCTTACCGAGATTATTTAATATTGGTGTTAAATTTGTTGTTAAACCAGGTATATCAATGTGTTTATCGTAACTATATATTTTTTCTTTTTATCAATATGTAATTTATTTTATTTGTAATATTTTTTTCTATATACTTTTTCATCTCCCAGATAATATATATATATATATATAGACATACACAGCATGGTCAC